TTATTTGGGACTCGTTTACACGTTTTAATTTTTTTTGAATTTTTAAATAAATTTAATTGGGACTCGTTTGCACTTTTAAAAAAAAAAAATTGGAACTATGGTTACAATTAATTCTTTAGCTTTTTTTATTTAAAAAGGAGTGTATATTCGTCATTGCACAACTTTTTATTGAGAAATTTGATAAAAATGATGGTTTGCGCAATTAAATGTGTAATTAAGGGTGAAAATGTCGAAAAATAAAAGTTACGAATTTTTTTGTACCTCTCACCTCTATGTGCATAACTTTTATGTCTGTCATGGGTGGTCTTCATATGGGCTCGAATCTTTTTATAGCCTGACTATTTATTCCACAATTTCATGACCTAATATTTTACATTCACCAACTTCATCCTAGTGAACGAGTGATCTACACTTCCTTCCATGCAGGGCTTCATAAGATGCCATACTGATAGAAGCATAATAGTTTTTGTTTTAAGCAAACTCTGTCAATGGTAAATATTTCTCTCAGTGTCCTCCAAACTCTAGGACATAGATTAGAAGCATATCCTCTAGATTTTGAATTGTTCACTTAGATTGTCCATCCAATTGGTGGTGAAAAGTTCTACTAAATTTTAGCTTACTTCACACTGCCTTCCAAAATTTTGATGTAAATCTTAGGTATCTATCTAAAACAATTAAAATTGGAACACCATGCAATCTTATCACTTCATTAACATAAATCTGAGCGAATTTGTTCATAGAAAATGTCATCCAAACAAACAAGAAATGAGTTGGTCAATCTATCGATGATTATTCAAATAGCCTCATGGTCGTTTATTGATTCTGAAAAACCAATGACAAAATCCATCATTACATGCTCCTGTTTCTATTTTGGAATATGTAATGGTTGTAGCAACCTCGACGATCGTTGAAGCTCGACTTTCTCTTGTTGTCATATTAAGCATTTCTCAACAAACTCGCAATGTTCTTTATCATATTCTTCAACCAAAATACAGCTTTAGGTAACACTACATTTTTGTACCTCCTCGGTGTACTAAATAAGGAGTGGTGTGAGCTTCGTCTAGAATCTCTCTTCTCAAATCCAAAATTCTGGATAGAAAATGAATTAGGGTTAATGAGTGGAGTAGAGAGTGTATACTTGATTTTTGAAACAATAAAGTTAAAATTTGATTTTTGAAATGATAAGTAAAAATATAGGACTAGGTGTAATTTTCACAATGGATAATGAAAAAATGTGCCCAAAAAATTCGAATTTGGGCCTGATTTTCAGGTCTTAGATACTAGTGGTAATTACACAAAATCATAATTTATGTATTCACATTTCCAAAATCAGGATGGAAGTTTCACATTTCCAAAATCAGATATTTTTTATTTTAATTAATATTTTTATTAAATATTAATAATAATATTATAAAAATTAATATATATACACCCACTCCCACCCCTAAATTTATTTTCAAACCCTAAAATCACGTCACTCTCTCTCATCCCCGTTTCTCTCATCCTCGTTTCTCTCAAACCCAATTTGAAACCATTGCCATTGTCGCCGCGCCGGCTGCAGCAACCCAATCACCGGAAGTCGATTTGCAGCAACCCACTGTTTCGACAGCGATTTGCAGTTTGCACTCGACGGGTTGCTGCGATTTGAGATTTGCCCTCGACAGTTGCTATTGCGATTTGCAATCGACGGGGTCGCCGCTGTTTGGGATGGCGATTTGCAGTCATCTCCTCTCCCTGGTGATCTCTTCTCCCGTACATCCTACCACCGTCATCTCCTCTCTTCTCCCCGGTCTGGTGCCGCACCCATCCCTCATCCGATTGCTAAATCCACCCTCATTCGACGATGGGAAATGGTAGAAGCACAGCTCCTTGCACTGGTGCAGCGTCGCCTCTGTGTTTTTTTTATTTGATATACGGTGGGTGATTTTTTGGTTGGTGATTTCTGATTAGATCTACTATTAGTGGCTTTTTAGCTGTTGTGGTGGTAGTAGTATGCGAAGTGTTGGTGGTGGTGTGCAGTTTGCGGTGGCGGAGGGGTGCTGATGTTCTTTATTTTTAAATACTGTTAGTTGCGGCCAATAAAATTTGTGATTATAACTGGCGATGG